AAATCTCCGCTCTTCTCTACTTGGCCCCTGGGATTTTGCAGCAGCCCAGACCATCTTTATGGCTCTCCCAGCATGAGGGATGTGCAGGGTGGCAGCTCCTGCCTGGCTCAGGATGAGCTGTGGTTGAGGAGGTTGTTTTTTTCCTGAGGCTGCCAGCCAGGCCACATGCCTGAAGGGACTCTGCTGCTGTCAGCTTGTCCTTTCACCACAGTCCCCCCCAGCCTTGGGCTCTGCCTGCCTGTTGTTTTTTTTGTACTTGTAATAAGAGCTGTGATCTCGGGCAGGGATGGACATGCCCCCAGCCAGGATCTCCTGGGTCAGCAGCCACTGCTCTGCTGTCACCCATATGCACCTCCTTGAAATCCAGTTTGAAATGGATTGGGCTTTTGCTGTAGCCCCACCGTGGTTTTGACTTTGCCATTAACACTCCTCCCTGTGCTGTACACAGACAGGGATGTGTTTTCAAGCATTGCCACTTAGCTGGGACCCAGACACCACTCATTGTCTCCCATGTTCTGGGGAAGCCTCACACACCCTCCCTGCACACAGCACCAGCTTTTGGGAGGATGCAAACCTAAACTGAACCCAAACCTGCCAATTCCAGGGAGGACTCCTGTATTATTGAGGATTTGCTGCAAGGCTGCAAGTTGCCAACCTGCCCCCTGCTCTCCAGCCAGTGCCAGCTGTACCACTCTGTGTGAGCATCAGCTGAGTGACAGTTGCTGCTCACACCCAAGGTAGAAGGCAAAGGAAAAGCACTGGGAAAATATATTTTATTGCTAAAGGAGCAAATCAAAGGCCCTCTCATTCCTCAAGCCAAGCCGCATGTGTTGACCAGCAGTAGTAATGGCTGGGTGGCACAAGGCAGGCTGTGGTTTGTACAGTAACAATGGAAAGGGCAGGAAAAACATTGTGTGGGGCAAAGGAGGTGGCGTGGGGCAAGGTAGGCTCCTGAATGAGTTTCATATGCTCCATTTCTGGCATTCCTATAGCCACAAACATGTGCTCCATCCCCAGCCTGGCCATCAGCACCACCTGGAAAGGGGGACCCTGGGGGCAGTGGTGACAGCCAGGTCCCAGACAGACCTTCTAGAGTGCCCATGGGAAGCCAAGAGCAGGCTCCTCTTCTTCAGCACCTGCAAACTGTTCCGAAGCATGTGTCCTCTGAGAGCAACATGGACCAGCAAACCCCCCAGACGTGGTGTTGATGGGCCCTTTTTGTGTGGGTGTCAGCAGAAATAAGACTGCAATGGTCTGGTCCCCAACCCTGGAGGTGGATGCAACGTCAGTGTTTGCCTGGACATGGTCTTCTCCAGGCGAGCCCTAAGGCATACCTACTCCCTTTGCTGTCGGGACCCAAGGGAGGGCAATCCGTAGTCCAATGGGTCATCTCCATATACCCGTCTCCTGTCACCACTGCAAACACAAGAGAGGGGTGGCTGCCAGCTCCTCATGTTAAAACATACATCAAAGCTGCAGGCTACAAACTTCAAATAAACCAAGAACCTCAACTCTGATTTTAGTGAAGTCAAGGGTGAAAAAAAGCCCCAAATATGCCCAAACCACCAGCCCTATGTACTTGGTACAGATGGACAGAGTTAAACTTAATTTTGTTTTCCAAAATTTTATATCAATCAAGGTGATTCATGTTACAGTTCTGTCTTCATAACAATTAAGAATTAGAAAAGTGGTTAAAAATAAACCCACCATCATTACAGTCCAATGTAGGATGACATGTGCAAACACAAACATTCAGAAAACCCGATACACGACAGTGCAAGCTTCAAAATTCAAACACATGGGCATAATGATAATGTGCTTTTCAGCCACAGCGTGCTATGGGCTGGGGTGGAAAATGATGAATCCAACTCCCAAACCTGTTTCGAGGCTTTTCCCTGGCTGAGTTTAACTAAGCCCTGCTTTTGCCAGTGACTCACGGCATAAATTGAAGAAATCTCCTTAGGGGTAGTTCCCAAGGTGTCTGTACACAGAGTGCTTGTGGTCTGCGAGGTCCTAAAGGTTCTCGAGTCCTGCAGTGCTACAGCAGTGTTAGAAGTAGTGGTTTTGGTAAAAAGTTGGATGGAAAGGGCACCTAGAGGCCTGTGAGATATCTTGAGGCAGCATTGCTGAGCTTGTCCCCAACTTGTGGGGAAGGCTTGGTGCCATGGACCCACAGAGAGCCACCTATATGGACCCATGCTTCAGCATCATCCCTTACGTCCTCCCAACAGCTTTACCTTTCTCCTAGCTGGAGCACTGAATAGCCACGGCCACTTATGACCTAACTACAGCATTTAGAAAAATAAGGGTACTCCACAATCTTACCCATTCATTCTTAGAGTTAAATAAAAAGAAAATTAAAACTTTGACAATAAAATCCTTTCTTTTGAGGGGCGGGGAAGGAAGATGGTATGTCTAACAGAGAATTTCCTCCATGACCTCCCTGAAGCACCCAAAAGCACTGTGAGGAGACTGAAGGCACTCATCTGGTTGCTCCCATTGTTTTTAATAATAAGGGGATACTAACAGGAATGCTGTTTCTCTTCACGTAGCCTCACCCCTTACTAGTAAGGGATGTGGTGAAGTGGCACAGCGGAGACAGGAAAAGACACGCAACACCTCCTGGTCACGCTAGGATCCTTCCCATGCAGTCCAATGCCAAGGATCCCATTTCTTCACTGTCAGCTGAGCTGTGCAGCAACATCTGCTCCACCCAATGACTCCCATGCCAAGGGAAGAGAAGTATTTCACAAGCAAAGGTTGAAAGGGAAGAGCTGGAAACAATCAAAGCACGGTCTTTACACATTTCTGGGGCTGGAGAAGCCCCTCCGCAACCTGTCCTCCTTGCAGGCTGTGGTCAAACTCATCTCTAGGAGCTCCTCACATTCACCTCCACCCTCCTGTCCAAGGGCCAAATCCTGCCAGTGCCCTGATGACTGATCATTAAGGCTTCCAGGATTAATGTCTTGCCAGAGGGTGTCTGTAATCTGCAACATAACCACTATTTGCACTGGTGGCAGGGAATAAACTTGAGTCCTTCATAGTTAAAAGCCACAAGAACCAGGCTTTGGAATAAGCTTGTGCATCAGCTGGGCAGGGACTTATAGAGCTCCCCTGTATTCATTTTGAGGCTGAAACACCAAATTATGTCAGGTAGATTCAGACCTTAAGGGATGCTCCAAAGAATCCATCAAACTGGACTTCCTTACTTCCTTCCTAATTATAAGAGCACTTAAGACTTTGCCCTAAACACCTACATTTCTGCTCCTGGAACCCATCACAACCCCCAGGTTTAGTGCATCTCCTTTTCTGCCTCCTGCAAAGCCCAGTGGGAGGAGATGGGCTTTGAGAAAGATCCTCCCTGCTACCTAACCCTACCCAAAGCACAGCACCATCTCCCTGGATGGCAAACTCATACTAGACTCATGCTCAGCCCAGACACAATCCCAAGAGAAACGTTGCTAATGCTGAGCTCTCCTTGGCTGGCCATAGGAGAGCTTGAAGGATTGGCAGAGTGCCCCAAACCTTCGAAGCCAAAGCAGTTCAATTCTGCAGAGGCTCATTATAAATTCAGGGCCTGAAATGTGCTCCCATCCAGGGCACAGCCGGGAATCTCCTGCCTTGGAGAGGAAGGCTGCCAGACTTCAATACCATGGCTCTCTGTAAATACATCTTCCCGTATAAAACCAAAGCTGGGAAAGAGGCATCTCTGCAGCTCCATCCTGGCTGCCAGGGACTTGGGGTGCAGGACCATGTCACCCTGTGTCCCGTCCAGAACCCTCTGACAGCAACTCCACCTCCAGCACCACAAACTGCCTGAGGAAGAGCCCTAATTCTCCCAGGGAGAGAAGAGGGCTGCTTCAGAAAAACTCTAAACAAAATCATCCTCTCTAACTGCAACCTGAGATGGAGATGGGTATTAGCTTAATTTAATGGTAGATGAGAACATTTCCACGGGTACAGTGAGAACACCCACTGGCACAGACTTCAGTGCAAAAGCCGGCGTTTTCCTCCCACCAGCTAGCAGCAAACGTCACCGTCAATCCAAGACACGTGCCGCTCGCAGGAACCGGCTGTTCCCGAGGAAGCGCCACGCATACTTTCTGAGAACAGCTTTGCTCCAGGCAGTCCTTCTGCCAGCAATGAACCTGAAAGCTCATCTGTCCTTAAAAATCAAAAGGGATTATATTATCAGGATAATCATGTAACAAAGCAGGGCCATAAATGCTTTAAAAAGACTAATGGGGCACGCTGGTATGGACGGTGCTGCTTCAGGAAAGGCAACATCCACACCCAAGGCAAAACACACAGGCAAGTGCCTTTCAACAGGTGTTAAGCAGGCGAGGAGGTGGGATGCAGCTGCCCCAGAAAGTGATATGCAGCCCATACAGCTAAAATACCTGGACATCCCTCAAGTAACCTGGCCCGCCAGGTACCTGGGAAAGCAGGAGCATTGGACAACTGTTAGTCCAGTGCCACACTAGACTAAAGAGGGAAAAAAAATGTATATATATGTATCTCTAGTTTGTTTTCTGCTCCTAAAAAAGTCATTTTAAATATATTTGCTATATTATAAAACTTAAGGCAGGCTGTGCTGTAGCAACTGTCCCAAATCAGACACCCTGATGCCCAGTGATGGGTGCTCCTGCAATATCAGAGATGCTCCCACTGCCACTAACCAACCTCCACCTGTTGAAATGCTTGGGAACTGAGAAGGTATTGGGTTTACTACATGTCTGCAGAAAGACTGACAACTTCTTTCTGACCTATAGAGAAAATTCTGCCTACTGTAACACAACTAGAGTCTCCCACCTGCCCCAAATAAAAAAACCCCAAAAATTACCACCCGCCAAACAAAAAAAAGATCACCCAGAGGACAGTGAAGTCTATTTAATTCCCTTCCATATCCCCAGTCTCAAATGAAATGTGCAATTAGAATTATTACTTGTAACAAAGTCCTAGGTAAGGCATGGTTATCCAAAAGCTGATGGAGGAGCCTGTTAGGAAACCCAGAGGAAATAGGCGACTTCATCCAGGTCGACGGGGTAGTCTGTAAGCAGCACCGGGGTCTTCTCAAACAACTCCCCCTTGTAGCTGCGCCATTTGCCTGCTGGCAGGTAGACGTCACGTTCCTGCTTGCCCATCTCCAGGACGGGTGCCACCATGAGGGTGTCACCTATGAGGAACTGGGAGTCGATCCTGTGAGTGGCCTCGTCGCGGGGCGAGATCCACCAGATGGGACGGATGATGGGGTCGCCTGTGTCGGTGACCTCCCCAGCCAGCTCCAGCAGCAGCGGGGCCACCAGTGATTCATGAAGCTCTGTGAACTTCTGTGCAATCTCCACCACCTCCTTGTCGTAGAGCCAGGGCGGGATGGAGAACTGCATGGAGGGCATGAACGCTGACAGCTCCAGCCACCGCACATACAGCTCCCGGTCGGGGATCTCCACCGCCCCATCTGTCTTGTTGGGGAAAAAATTCCCCCCAATCATGTCAGCAGATATGAAGGGGTACCCCAGCATACTGATGGTGAGCACTGTGGGGATGAGGGACTTGAGGCCGAGCTCATAGCCCCAGACAGAGTCACGGTCAATGATGCGGAAGAAGCAGGAGATGTTCTGTGACTGGTAGCCCACCCGCACCTCAGCCAGCTCATAGAAAGGGATGGCCATCTCCGTGTAGCGCCGTGACCAGATGCTGGGGTCTGAGAGTGGGCGGAAGGTGCTGAACTGCTTGGGCAGGTAGCTGGTCTCGCCTGCATCAAACTTGAAGGATGAGATGCCGTACTTGTGACGGAGCTGACGCAGGTGGCTCTGAAACCAGTCCCGGGCTGTTGGGTTGGTGAAGTCCAGGATGGCCCCAATGCCATTCCACCACTCCACCATGGCAGGCAGCCGCCCTGATGGCTCCTTGATGAACAGCTGGCGCTCAATCCCGACCCCAAAATTGGAGGAATCTGTGTGTATAAAGGGATGAATCCACAGGGTGACCTTAAATCCATTCTCCCTCAGTTTTGCAAACATCTCTGTCACATTGGGGAACTTGACAGGGTCAAAGTCAAAATCTCCATAGGCTTTTGTGTACATGTCATCAATTTCAATGTGGCTGCAGTTAAAACGATACTTCTTAATCTTTTCAGCAAATCGCAAGAGTTTATCCTGGTCGATGTTGTTCTTGTAGAGGGCCCAGGTGGACCAGATGGGGTATCG